CTCTCTTGCTGTGTCTCTCTCTGTCAAATAAATAAAATCTTTAAAAATAAATAAATAAATAAATAAAAAATAAAACAATGTAAAATTTTTCTCTTCCTATGAACCACACTCAGCAGTGAAGGAGAAAGAAGGCTTCCCGACCCTCTGCCACCACTTTTTGGGGTACCATTACAGGAATATTTCCAGGTAAAATTACTCCCTCAGAGACACAGTCTGTAAGGGGCTTCAGAAAGTGAGATACAAAACCTTGCAGGAGGAGCCCTGAGGTATGAGGCTAAGGTGGACTGGATAAAAATAGCTGTCCTTACACCTGTCTTCAAGATCACCTCGGGGCCCTGGGTGGCACAGTCGGTTAAAGTGTCCAACTCTTTGTGGTGGCTCAGGTTCTAATCTCAAGGTTGAGAGATCGAGCCCCACATCCAGCTCTGTGCTCAGCGTAGACTCTGCTTGAGTTTCTCTCTCCCGCTCCCTCTGCCCCTGCAACCCCCATGCTCACTCACCCACTCTAAAATAAGTAAGTCTTTTAAAAATATATTTAATAAGATCACCTAGCATAAAAGATGTTGCTTAGCACCAAGGAGAAGAAGAAAGAAGAAAAATGGGATTGTTAACTCCTAGTAAAAGTGCAAGGGCTGTCACCCCAGTTCTCGAGGTGTTCATGGTCAGAAGAGAGTCTAGCAGAGGCAACTACGTGTTACACAGACTTTGTAATTATTTTGAGCTTCATAATCCATCAATCATTTTAGCAAACTTCTTTTGTAGGTAGCAAGTTGAACTGTCATTATTTTGAGCCATATCTAATTTCCCTACTAGCCCCTTTAAGGCAGAGGGACATTCTTTCCTTCTTGAAGACTAGACTACTACTTTGTGTTTGTACAACTGAGAAACAGAGGAAAAGGCCCCTCTATCTTCTTGCTTCAAACCTTCATGGATCAGGAATCCTCACCTTGAAGCCCCACATTCAGATACTTGTTGAGACGTCTGAAGAAAGCCTGTCGCTGATGCATGGAGTAGAAATCAGTATAACATATCATTTCTCTTCTAGTGTTTCCCAGATAAGTGTTAGTGGCTCCAATAAATCTGGGTCTTGAATTCTCACCTAAGTCTTATGTTAGCTTGGTGGTCTTTAGCATCTCTACAGTGCTATTCCATCTATGAAAACACCCCTGAAACATTTTTAAATAAGCTGATAAATATTACTGCATTATCCCCCTTGAGTGTGTATTCTGATAGGTGTTTGATAATAGAGCAAATCCATTTTTGGATTTGTAGAGCAATTTTGTATTGAGAATAATATGTTCAAAAATCTTAATTTCTGTGCTTTCTTTCTCCCTCAGGGAAACATTTTCTTTTAAGTGTGGGAAGCCTTGAAAGTAGTCTAGCTTAAGGAAAAAAAAAAAAAGTCTTAAGTAGCAATAGTTCATATTCTGTATTTCTTGTGATACATAAAGGTATTTTCTGCATTAAAACACAGAGAATTCTATTTGATATGTTTCTCACGGCAATGGAAGGAAATGTATTTCTGCACAATATCTTACTTTTGATAAGACCTAAGCACCATAATATTCAAAAGTTTTAAAGGGGCCTGGGTGGCTCAGCTGGTTAAGTGTCTGACTCTTGATTTTGGCTCAGGTCATGATCTCAGGGTCATGAGATGGAGCTCCACGCCAGGCTCTGAGCTGGTCGTGTAGCCTGCCTAAAATTCTCTGCCTCTCCCACTAGCCCCCCCACCCCAAAAAAAGCTTTAAAAAATAGTCATTGGAAAAAATTACAAACAATAAATTACTGTTAATAATTAGGCAACTTTCTTCCTTTGAGGGCTTATATCAGCTTTTCTTTTGCTGAATTCTATAAATTTCAGATGTATTTCTCCATCTTGCTTGTGTATCCCTGTTCTCTTCCACTTTATCTTTAAAACTACATATTTTTTTTGATCAGTATTCCACTCACTTCAAGTTCCAATTTCTTTTGTTAACCCACCACCACGGAATCTACAGAATGTTGGGTACTAACATTTCCTTTCTCCACCCAGTGCCTACCACCAGTGTCAAGCACGGACACAGCTTTAACCAACCAAGGAATTTTTTTTTTCTACATTTAAAGTCATATGTATGGGGGTGCCTGGGTGGCTCAGTTGTTAAGCATCTGCCTTCGGCTCAGGTCATGATTCCAGGGTCCTGGGATTCAGCCCCACATAGGGCTCCTGGCTCAGCGGGGAGCCTGCTTCTCCTTCTCCCTCTGCCTCTCTCCCTGCTCATGCTCTCTCTTTCTGTATCTCTGTGTCTCAAATGAATAAATAAAATCTTAAAAAAAAAAAAAAAAGTCTTACGTATGAATGCATTTCTTACCTGACTAAGGATACGGCCACATTTTCTTCCTATTTTTTCCACCAAATCAAAAATTGGAAAATTCCAAGTATTTAGCTGCTCCATAATTGAGTCCAAGTTATCCATGACAAGAGGTTCAGGAGCAAGAATTGGCTTGTCCTATAATGAAGATGAAAATATTTTAAGAATACGCAGTTTTTCTACAAAGCAATTTGTGCTTTGGTAAGTTCAGCTCAACAACTGAGTTTATAAAAATAAATGACTTAAAACTTCAAGGTAAACGAGTGATCTTAAAAAAAAATCAAGATGAACAAGACATTGATCTACACGTTAGGAGAAAAGGTCCTAATGCTATTTCATATCATGAATTTTGCATATTAGGTGCCTGTCTATTTTTGGTTCATATATGCTACAGAAAAAAAAATGGATGTTTCTTTCATAAGTTAATGTAACTGCTTTTCCCCTGTTGTGAAGTTCTGAAATAAAGATTCAAAGACTTCAGAACACATTGAAATCATATGTAAATTTATCTCTTTATATGTTTATGTAAATTTTTCTGGGAGGGTTCCTGGCTTATATTGGACTCTCAAAAGAAACCCAGGAGTGGGGAGGAGTTAATCACTCCCTACTCTACTTGGCCAAATATATATTATTGCTTCAAAATCAGCATTGATCCTATGGGATGATAATTGCCACATTTTTCATAGATTTTAATTTAGTTCATGTGATGTATGGTTTCCAAAGAAACATGCACCATGTTAATGTAAAGACATTTTATAATTGGTCCCAAATGAGGACATTCTTACGAGTACCTTTACCAAAAAAATGAATAAAAAATAAAGATAATGAGGACTAGGAAACATATAAATTACTTTATCTGGAAATCTCTTTAAAAGTATAAATGGTAAATCAGATAAAAGAAAAATGATACTAGCAGCAATTGAGAATTACATGATAGCCAACTATTTTTTAAATTATTTTTTTATTATTATGTTCAATTAGCTAGCATATAATACATCATTAGTTTTTGATGTAGTGTTTCTATTTGCTGCCTCCCTGAAATTAACCTGACTCAAATACATGCTTTTATCCTCTTTAAACGGATCTCTATAAGCCCACAAAGTCCTCATTAAAGGCTATTTTAATGGGTAGTATGTCAGTATAAACCTAGTTTAAAATAATAAGGAAAATAAATATTGGCACACTTTCTAAATGAAAGAGGTGCTAGAGAAAAAAGAAAAAAAACAGCAGAAGCCCTAAGACAACTAACATATTTTATTTTTATTGATATTTATAAAATATTGCTTCACTGGATGAAATAATTTTCCCTATGCATACCTACACTTTTAGATTCTAGGATTAAGAAGTATCTGTAATCACTTGTGGAGATGAATACTTGCATTCTTAATCACTAAATAAGAGAATCATGAAGAGATCAATAAAACTTGGATAAGGAAAAATTATACTGATACATAGGGATATGGCTATAAGGCATGTGTGATCCAAGAGAGACACATCTGTAAATCTAATGATTCAGGGATCTATTTGTAAGTCAATTTCTGTCACAGAGGGCAATTTCTCAAGTAAAGGAATGAGCGAAGTGATATGGAGCTACCAGGAATATCATGGCCTCAGGCGTGTAGGGGCCACAACCAGAAGCTTTCCTTAGAGGCTCCCTCAGGCACTCAGTCTCATCTTCGTTCTGTACAATATCACTGCTATCACTGTTGTTGTTGGTTTCATAATCAGAGGTAACTTGAGTAGTGTCATCTGCAATGGAAAGAGAACAGATGATGAAACTTGCAAATGGAAACAGGGGTCTCACTTGAGTGAATATTCCTAAAATGCATATGGCATATACCATGCTTAGGGACATACTGCTTTCATGAGCTTACACATCAAGAATGCAAGATCATAAAGTGGGAAAAAAGTACTTTTTTTTAAGATTTTTTTTTATTTATTTGAGAGAGAGAGAACAAGCAGGGAGAGGGACACAGGGAAAGGGAGAAGCAGGCTCCCTGCTCCCCTGATCGACATGGGGCTTGATCCAGGAACTCCGTGATCATGACCTTAGCCGAAGGCAGATGCTCAACTGACTGAGCCACCCAGGCACCCAGAAAAAGTAGACATTTTTTCACCCAATGAAATAGATAGGATTATGATCTGTGATTTATATGACATTCAATAATTCCTCAGTAATAATGCTTAGATCAGCAGCAGTTTATACTTTTTAAAAACCCTGTAACTTTGTATTTCTTCTTCCTTTATGCATCTCCCAACACACTAAACCACTGAGTAGCTAAGTCAAGAATGGGCACATGGGGAAGAGAAGTTGAGCTGACACCCAAGGACTAAGTGGTCTGTAGGACATGGCATAATAGCATGTGCTTAAGGGCCTGGGGGATCTTATGTATCCAATCTTGATCCCTCAGAATCTGTGGCTTGCTTTCTTACCTGCCTCTTCCACCGTCTCCCATTTCAGTCAGCACTAAACCATGCGAACTAAAGGCCCAGTCAAGCACTATCAAGTGTCTGTAGAACATGCTTCTGGAGCAAAGACCTCAAAAGAAGCTTCTCATGGCTGAGTAAGGGCCTGAATGGTTTACCGAGTGAGTGCCATATGCTGGATGGCACAAAAGTGCTTCATTTGAGCAAACCTATTTAAACCTACACAATCCTACAAGGCAGGTATTATTGCACATCACTGCATCACTCATGTCCTCACATGCAGAAAGGAAACTGGCGCACAGAAAGGATAAGTAAATTGTTGAAATTTTGCCACATGAATTTGAACTCACGAAATCTGATCCTAGTTCCTATATTCTTTACTGTTGATAAAGTCTAGCTTTTTTTTTTTTTTCCCCTGTATGGTTATTGCTAAGATTCCTATGCAATCTTTGCCTTCCCCTAAGTCATAAACCTATCTTCTTTCAGAAGCCTACTGTTTTAGCTTTTACATTTAGGTCTATGCTCCGTCACAGAATGATGTTTCATACGGTGTGGAGTAGGGGGTGAGATTCATTTTTTCCGACCCTACTGGAATGCTCTGGCATCTTTGTTGAAAATTCAGAGTAGAGGTGGGTCTAATTTGGGGCTTTCCATTCTATTCCATTGGTCTATCTGCTGATCCTCAAGCCTGCACCACCCTATCTTGATTACTGCAGCTTAAGTCTTGAAGTCAGGTAATGTCTTTCCTCTAACTTTGTTCTCCTTTCTCAGTTGCTTTGGATGTTCTATGACTGTTGTATGTCCTCATACATTGAGTATCTAATTTTTCTTAAGTTGCTAGTGAATAATGGCTTTTGTTATGTAGCCTATTGCCATCAGGAGTATCTTGTAGGACTTTTCCAAGGACTCCTCTTTCTTCGATCTTTCTCATGCAATCTTTCTCATGTAAGAATTAGACACAGTATGAAAATGTAATTGACAAGTTTCAAACCCAGAATTTGTAGGAAAAAATGAAGAACACTCAAAGGTCATAGCTCTATGTGAGACCACAATGGTGATAAAGAAATACTCCCCATATTGTATCAGACTCAGTAGAGTCAAAGAAGATCAGGAACATAAAGAATGGAATATTCTGAGTCTTCAGAATGCTAAAATATCAGAGAGAATTCTCCTTTTGATTTTTCCTTGCCTATGTCTCTTGACCTTTGTACATTGCCACAGCACACCATTCTCACAGGCAAATAATCAATATTTATTGAGTACGTATCAATAAATGCTGAAGTAGATAATTAAGAATCATTCTTACATAGTGTTATCACTCTAAAGTCTGTAGTTCAGAGAAGCCAGGGTTTTTCTACCTTGTGAACTTTCAGCACTAACAAAATGAAGTCCCTAGAGTTGCATCAATAAAAATAAAATACTAATTATCATAGTAATAGCAGCAAACATGAACTATTGACAGTGACCCAGATACTATAAGTGCTTTATGTGATTTTTAAAAATTGAAGTATAGTTGACATACATTAGTTTCAGGTGTACAACATAGTGATTCAACAATTATATATATTATGCAATGTTTCCCATAAGGGTAGTTAACATACAAAGTTATTACAATCTTATTGACTATATTCCCTATGCTCTTCCTTTCATCCCCATGACCTATTTATTTTATAACTGTAAGCCTGTCCCTTTTAATTCCCTTCACCTATTTTGCCCATTCTCTTCCTCCCCTCCCTTCTGGCAACTGCCTTTGTTACAAGTTGTTTCTGTTTATTTCTTTAGCCTCCACATATAAATGAAATCACAGGGTATTCCTCTATCTCTGTCTGACTTATATCACTCAGCATAATACCCTCTAGGTCCAACCATGTTGTCGCAAATGGCAAGATCTCATTCTTTTTGATGTCTGAGTAGTATTCCATCGTGTATTAGGCGTCTTCCAAATCTTGGGTCTAGTAAATAATGCTGCCGTAAACATAGAAGTGCATCTCTCTTTCCGAATTAGTGTTTTTGTTACATGTTTTAAGTCATTTAATTCTTACAACAATCCTGTTTGGGAGGTACTATTATCCCCATCTACAAATGCAGGAACAGAGGCACAGAGATTACAAATTAGTAGGTAGCCCGATAAGGATAAAACCAGGCTCCAACACCTGTGTTCTTAACCTCTCCATTATAGTGCCTCAAGAAAAAACATTTTTATATGCTTATAGTGATCTAAGCAGGGTATTTTCTCAGTCTTCAAGGGAGACCTTCAGAGAGTATCCTAAAATGGATGGCCCTCCAGTGTCCAAGATAAAATGACATTTCTATATAGTTTTATATATTATATAAAATGACATCTAATTTAAAAACATATATGTATTTGCGTATAGGTATTTAAAACCATTTTGGACAGCTTTGCATCAAAATCGTACCCATGGTGAACTCTTAGGTAGTAGAATTAGGGATGACTTTACTTTCCTTCATTGTCTTTTTACATTTGTCATCTAAAAAGTCAGAAGCATATGTTACCTTTTTGATTGGGGGCGGGGAAAGTAAAGTGATCTCCATTTTGAGGAACAGAACCCAAAGAATTACCCGTTCTGCTTGGTGTCCGAATGGCTGCACTGCTTCCCTCCAGGGGCCCATCAGCAGGATTCCCTTGAGGATATGGTCTGCCACAGCTGAGAAATATTGGAAGAGCTGTAAGTATATTCTCTCTTTTCAAAAAATCATAGGCACACACCATCTATGTACACATGAAGATAGATAATAATCAAACGTTTCTACCTTCCACTTATTTGATAAGAAAAAAATTCATTTTGCTTTATACATAGATGCTGATAGACTGTTTTCTTTTTGGTGAGAGTGTAATCAATATAAAGGATCAGAAGCTTCACTCAACGCTCATCCTCCTCCACAGTCTAGGCCACATTTGAAACCACAGGCCAAATTTTGTTACATTAATTAGAGAATCCTGGGATAATCTGCTACCTGCTCATAGTGGCGATTTTGGAGATGCCGAGGCATATTTAGTCAAAAATATCTTCCCCAATGCACTCCCTGTCAACCTGCCTAAAAGCCTCATTATTAGATTTATTTCCATGGGTTAAGACATTTTATGCGCAAAGAGCCCTTTAAGATCGCATATGTGGAAATAGAATGACAGCATATTAATTTTCTTTTTTGCCACAAAATAAAAATTAATTCCTTTTTCAAGACTGATCAGTCACCTGCTAAGGCCCAAAGGAAATGAACAAAGTAGAGGTACATTGTGACAGAGAGTGAACGGAAAATTGACTGCACAGAATGCTAGTTGAGAAAAACAGGCCAAGGGGGTATACTGTGAGTAATCTAGAAAAATGAACATACTGGAGGGTCCTAGCTCTTTAACAGAGGACATCAGAGGAGGTAGGATACTTCTGTTCTCTCAACAGTTTTGACTGCTTTATAAATTAAAAAGCAACCCCACAAATGGCCTGGCAAGTTTCTTCTCTCACTTATCTTGTTCAGAACTCCATGGTTAGATTTTAATTCTGGCTTTTGCTTCTGGGTTCTTTTCTTCTGCCTAATATTACAAAGGGTCTCAGAGGGTTTTTGTTTGTTATTTAGCCACAGAGTACTCACTCTAAAAGGAAAAGAAATGAAATCGTTTATAATTTATTAAATGTCTCATCACTTTTATTTTCCCTCACTTGTGCTTATATATGTGTTGTAGAGATAAGCATCTGCCAGTTAGAGAATACTTTCATCCTGAGTAAATTTATTTTCAAGCCTTAAACGTAAGTGGAGAAGCATCCCATGCAAAATATTTCTAATTATGAGATCCCATCACTTTGATTTAGGGTATCGAAAGAAAATGACAGGACCAAAGGAAAAAGCAAGCAGATACAAATGATGGGCTTACATTCTTGGGTGACACTTGGTAGATGGAGGGTTTATTAGTTTTAAGAATTTTCATTGCAAGATAATACTTAAAAGGAACACTTAAATTAGTAGTTCAAATATACTACCTCTTATGCCAAAAAAACAGCTTGTTGCATAGACATTACAGAAGACTGGGACTCAAAGCCAAACCCTTCGAGTTCAGCAGGGGAAACCACAATAATTAGTCGTGTGTTTCTGGAGCTCTCTGTGCCTACATGGGTGGCTGCCTTGAAGGCAATAATAGAACATGGTTTGAATTACAGATTTATAAAGCCCAAACAAATAAAAGACACACTACTGGGTTTATAAACATTACTGAACAAGTAGGCAGTGAAATTCTCTTATTTTTCTCCAAAATCCCTTTTATAAAAATCCCATTACATTCTTCCTTCTAAGAGTACAAAAAATAGACTGTGTGGAGGAAAGCTGTGGGAGTGGTAGAGCTTTTCGGAACATCTCTGCTTTCTTTAGGCGACTTATTTCCCACAAGTTTGGAGCCCACGGTGGGAGAGTCTCCCTAGAAATGCTGGAAGCCGATGTGCTTGATGTTGATTACTCCACTGAGCTTCATCTTGGCTTGGGATGCATACCACAAAAACATGTTTCCTAAGGATGTTCCACCACACACTTGCTCCATGGGCAATTACTGTGTGTTAACCTAAAAAAATTGGTTTTGTGGTCAGATAAATTCAGAAAATGCTACCTGAGACAAAAATCTAGAGGTTTTCTTTTGCAGGACTTCTCAAAGCTTTTAATAAAGTGATGTGTGTTATGAATCACTGATCTCAGATCATGCTTTTTGTGTGTGGGGGAGGGGAAAGATGGGATTAATATTCCACAGAAATTATTTTATTAAAACAGCCCTCATAGAGAGGGTAACAGGATAACGTTGGGATGGTAAAATAACTTTTTAGTCTGGCCCTGGACAAATAAACTAACAAAAATGATTTTCCCTTTTAAAGTATTTGTAAAGAGAAAACAAGTAAAAATAAAGATTAGAAAAAGAAAGAGTGTTCATTTAGAGTTTATGACTAAGTGATTTGAAGATGGTATCTGTGAAGCTTAAAACGGAATCTAATAATCAAATCTAGCTCTGTGAACTGGTGCTGTATGTAACTCATTTACTCAAACGGTTATCCTCATTAACCTTAGCCAAGAGACAGAATTTTGTTCAAGGCACTCTCATGACTACACTTAGGGTAAAAACACTTAACTCTTCTAGTTAAAAGAATACTGTAATGCTTTAAAATCAACTCTTCAAGATGAAGCTATTACTAGAGAACAACAATATGGTAATCAGTTAAGAGGAGGGATTTCCTTCTTCGTGACAATGTTGGCAAAATAACTACTCCTGTGATGCGACGCCTTTTTTTCTTATCCTCTGTGAAAAGACATCACTTCCTATTTCTAATTCTATTTAGAAGTGATAGACCAGTACAAGCCAATTGTTTAATTGCCTTCAGAGACCCATTTCAGTCTAACCATAGTGTGCCATGTATTATCTGAACATTTTTGTTTTATTTATTTATTTACTTACTTATTTAAGATTTTTATTTATTTTTTTAAAGATTTTTTATTTATTT